TATAATACCCCATCTGTTCTATGCAGCGAAACAACGTACACTCTTGGACGTAACTTACGAAGTTTGCAGAGATATGGATTCATCAAGAAGAGTTTGATTTGCAGAGATTTTAAATGGTCCATCTATAGAATAAGAATTTATGCACCAGGTTATTTAATCAAGGCACTAACATTAACAAATTCACCTAAATTCAATGAAATATGCCTAATTCGTATTTTTAATAATGCGTCTCATTTAGTTTTAAAGATTACCCATAGTTAATCTAAAAATGCTCTCATGTCTTAGTTCGTTTACTAATAGAAACATATTACTTTGAGTAACATGTACTACTGATGTATTTATTTTTCCATAACGTTTATACTTTTTAAATTGATATAGATATCGATACTTTTTGCGTCTGCGTCAACTGAAGCCGATAATGTGACACTATCTGGGTCAGAAGATAAAGCAACGCCGGAGACTTCTGTTTCGTTAAATGTTAGGAGAACTGCAATATAAATATTAAAACATTATCAACACAATCTATTATTTCTTGGGTTTTCGTACAGGTTACTTACTTTTGAGAAAAAATATCATGTTGCAAGGCGCAAAACAGCAGAAAATACAATTCTAAATGCTGTCATAAGTAAGTTTCTAAATGTCTAACTCAACCCCAACTACACCAAATAGTCTCTACCAGTTCAAATATATATATATATATATATATATATATATATATATGTATATATATAAACAACACCAAGTTGCGTAAGGCTCGTGAGCCCTCATGGTTGGGGTGGGGTGGGATCTCTTACTACTAACTATAATTTTACTATCCAGTTCAAGTTGGTCCTTGAGAGGCCACGGCGGGTTCGGGCCCTTCTGTGTTATACATAAAAAAAAAAAAAAAATAGACTAAAATGCCACAAACTCTTTGGCAGATTTATTAGAAGGGGTCAGTCCAACTACGACATGGAGGTTTGACAAGATTATGTAACACCTGTGTGATTTCTTGGGAAACGTAATAAATATAAGTAATAAATGTACATTTGATTGGCTGACTGATTTGTTAAAATATTAATAGGCATGGTCCTTCCCATCCACTGGTGCAACGACGTGTCATGGGACTCTGGGCCGAAAAAAAGAATCTTAGGAGCACCTTGCACATCAGTAAATATTTCTGCTCACGAAGTGACCGGGGAGGTAACCCCCATAGAGATAAGTGTCAAGGATGAAAAGTCTTTAATTATTAGACAATGCAAAAAATATTGTGTGACTAATCCACACACATTTGCGTGCTACATATATATCAGGTCTATGCATATGCATATGAATGTGCATTTCATTAATGTAGCTTTGCCAATATAAATAAGTAATATCAAACAATCATTCAATCAATCGTTTCAGGGGCGGGTCCAGGACACACGGGGTCTATCTATCCCAACCCCCAAAAATGGAGAAAAAAGAGAGAAGAAAGTCCAGAAAGAAGGGAGCATGACGTCACACTGTAGGCCTACTCCAAGCCAATTTTGTTAAATGTCAGTGGTCTCCACTACTGCAAAACAAAATTCTTTCTCTATATCCGCCCCTTATGGGTGGATGGGTATATTCAGTGTAAACACCAAGGATAAACTACAAAAGTCCCCAGCATGGTTAGGGCTAATCATTTATGATTAGGGCACCTTTAAGTGGCCGGAAGTGGCACTCATAGACTTAAAATGCAAGTATTATTTTCTTTTTATTTTCATTTTTAAAACAATTGGCAAATTTAGACTGACTGGCGCACGAGAACGCATAGTCATTACGACAATGTACACCGGGAGACAATCCCCTCTTTTCCGATTAGTATATGGCGTTCTTTAACTTGTACACAGGCCATAATGCACACGGGACCAACGGGTTAAATGTCTCATCCGAAAGACGGTGCGCTATCGTAATTTGCATTTTAGCCCTCCGTCTGAAACACAAGGAGAGCAGCGATTGGAATTGATTACACCACCTCCTTCCTAAAGCCTCTTCCAATTACCATCTTAAGCCGGACACTCACTGCATCGTACGACGATTGCACGACCGTCGCCGACGAATCCACATTTGCTTCCGGCGAGCGACAGACGACGCAACGCCGTCTGCTGATTGTCAGTGGCAATCTGAACGGATTCTCATTAAAAAGACGATCCATTAAGTCCGCGTCTTCGTCGCGTTGCCGTCGCTTCGCCGTCGCACGCAGTGAGTTTAGAAAACCTAAAGAATGTATCCTCCTAAAAGTCAACTGAACGGTTCAAAAAAATCATCTTAAATTTTGGTTTGTTTCAAGGCTGGTAAAAACTTCATGCACATGCTAATGCTTTGTTCATTTTTAAATAAGTATTTAAAATAACTACAATAATCTCAGTACAATAATTATAATTACAATAATAATATTAATAATGATAATTAATAATAATAATAATAATATGATAATAATAATAATAATAATAATGATAATAATGATGATGATAATAATAATAATAATAATAATAATAATAATAATAATAATAATAATAATAATAATAATAATAATAATAATATTGATTTTAATATTGGTTGCCTTTTTGTCCTTTGAACCTCTTTCCTTTTGCTGTTTTTGTGATGTGGGTCCTTTTTGTTAAAAAAATGTTTAGAATTTGATTGTTTGGATTTTTCTGCTTGAACCCTTTCCTTTTGCAAAATTCAACCCATTTTGAGTGTTTCAATAAAGAATGATTTAATTTAAATCGGAGACCTAAGAGATCTCCACGTTTCAGCGCACACAGTGGCTACCACCACTTTATGCAACTGAGCTAAGCTACTTTGCTCCCTGGTTATAAATCTATATATGGTACCATTCCAACATTTAATAATAGGCTCTATTACAGTAACACTATTTAGAAACGGACAAAAATTTACATTCGCCATAATAACTGTAAGCCCAAGACTTCTAGATCACTTTTTCTTCAGGTCATTAAGTAGGCTTGAAAACATTAATATGACGACGTTTAAGTAACAAAATTTATTATAGTGTTAATAAAGTGTCACTTCGATACCACAAATTATGTTTCTCTGGAACACGATAAGGCCAATCTGAATAAAATGACCATCGTACTTAAAGGTTCAATCGACGATGTTGCAAGCGTTTATCATCCGAATATCCGAATTATTAGTAGGCCTATATGTACAATAACAATAATACATACATACAATAATTTAACGTGTTGTGTACTATTTCTAAATACATGTAAATATATTATCTTTACATGTATTTAGAAATAGGCCAACTGTTATATATCCATGCATTTAATTCTTTATTTATTGGCATGTTTTAGGGCGAAGGCGGATTTTAAGGTGGGTGGGGATGCAGCTGGCCGGGGCTCGTATGTTTTTGAAAATTAAAAGGAAATACATTGTCAAAAATGTCGTATTATTAGATTGCTCGGTAGTAGTAAGTAGGGGTCCATGGCTTTTTCGGGACACATTTAGAAGTGGAGGAACTAAGCGTTTCTCCGGAAAGCACACAGGCATTACATAACTGTTCAAACCTCCTTATTAAAAAGCTGGGGTATATTTGGAAGAATCCCTTCTAATAAATCTGCCATAGAATGTATTGATTGTGGGATTTTGGTCTATTTAGTTTTTCGGAAATTATTGAAAAGGTTACAATATTGTCAAGGCGTTGTGGGAGTGTGTGTAGTATTAGTAGTAATAAGGGCCCACGTTTCGCCCAAAAAGCACATGCGTTATTTAAGGCTTGGTAGTAATGTGCTAGGTAGTAGTAGGAGCCCACCCCACTCCGAGAGCCACGAGTTACGCAACTGTGTCCAATATATATTAATACGGTATGCCATAATTGGACTTTACGGGACAATGTATGAAAAAATACACCTTTTTTGATATGTTTTAACTGCAAAACATTATTATTTTAACGATACCAAACACGGCAACTTTTGGCGAGTTATATATTTATTCTTATTCCATATACATTTTAGGTATATTTTGCGGATATTTTAAAACAAATAACACCTATTTATGGTTATTTATTTATTTATTCTGGTTTGAGTGACAATAGTTTTTATATGTCTAGTTTGTTGCCTGTCTAGACATTGTTTAGACACCAAAATCATATCTGTAGCTTATTTAGCTCCAATTTTAAGAACATTTTAGCTAATTTTGGAGGCCATTTTGAAAAATGCCGCCATTCGTATACAAAGAGAAAAATCAAGTGTCAACAGGGCTTAGGGTGACCAGGAGGGATTAATTAGGATATATGGCTATGTTGACTGTTTCTAACATTCCACTCCGCCCAACTTGATTTCTAGGCCTCTTTTTAAATTTTTTTTTCCAAGTCTAATAGATAGAAATGGTGATAGTGATTGTAATGGTAATGGGAATGGTAAATTCAATTTTAATGTTCATGATAATAGTAATAATAGTATATTAATAGTAGATAATATAAGAATTATTATAATAGTAATAATAGTATTAATAGTAATTACATTACATGCATTACTATAATTAATGTAATTAATAGTAATTACATTAATTATAGTAATAAAGATGTCAGTGGCTTTTCAGAAATCGACGATGGCGACCACTGTGATAGGATGATAATTATGACGATATTACTACTGTGACAGTGGCATCGAATCCATAGTAGTTGTATCGTTATTATTTCCATCGTATTATAAATTTTATAAGGAAATTAATTTTTAATCTAACACTTTTACATTTTAATGTGATAGGTTTGTTCGTAACATAGGTGTAATCACTAACCTTGGATAGTAAACGTACAATTATCATAATTCCCTGACGAGTCCGTAGCGGTAAAAGTGAACTTGTGTGGCCCAATTCTAAGATCAACAGGAAATGTTTCATTGGGTTTAGGAGAGATGGTAGGGATATCTCCGGAGTTGTCAGTTGCATATATTTTACTTGAATAGTCAACTGACGTCGTGGCACTACCCTCATCAGTGTCAATGGTCTTGTCCGGTGGACAGTTTACAGTAGGCTTTTCTGTGTCTGTAGAAAAAGTTAAATACTGTACAATGTAAGCAAATAGTTATTACGCGATCGTTTTACTAATGTATAGTTGTTTTATAAAAGCTCAGTAGTTCGATCAACGAATGAAATTATTTATTAAAAATATACTGATAATTCCATTCCATCTATTTTTAATAATTAAGTATGAACTATGTTTTCGTTTCTTCTGGTTTAATATACCAGCACCACTTGAATGTTTTTCAAATATATATTATTTATTTTAAAACAATGAAATTAATTATATAATTGATTACAAAAAATAAGTCAATTTTAAATCTATCACTATTCAATTTTTAAGAAATATGTTAAATCGAATCACTAACCTTGTACAGTTATATTAAACGTACAATTATCATAATTCCCTGACGAGTCCGTAGCGGTAAAAGGGAACTTGTGTGGCCCAATTCCAAGATCAACAGGAAATGTTTCATTGGGATTAGGAGAGATTGTAGTGATATTCCCGGAGTTGTCAGTTGCATTTATTTTACTTGAATAGTCAACTAACGCCGTGGCACTACCCTCATCAGTGTCAATGGTCTCGTCCGGTGGACAGTTAATTGTAGGTTTTTCTGTATCTGTAGCAAAAGTTAAGTACAATTTATAACCAATAATTATTACGCGATCGTTTTGCTAATGTATCTGGTATTAATTTAAAGATGTACTGTCTCTTGAAAATGACCAAAATCATAAAAAAATTATTTTTAAATTAACTTGCTCATTTTGCAGTACTAGTGTAACAAACAAATTATGAACTTGAGCATAGAAATTATTAAATAAAAAAAAAATTGTTACCTAATTTTTTAACTGGATAATTATAATAAAGATAGTTAAACACTTCCAGTCACTAGAAGTGTTTCTATCATTGTTTCGCTGTAGAATAATGGTTTTTTTGGGTAAGGATTTTTTAAATACACTAATTTCTATGTTCAAGTTGATAATGTTTATGTTACTTCAAAATGGGCAAGTAAATTTCAAAAATGATTTTCATGATGTTTTTTTTAATGTTTTTTGCAAGGGACAGTACATCTTTAAGTTCAGTCGGTCGATTGTCAACAAATGAACTTATTTGATAAACATACACTATTAAATTCTTCATCTATTTCAAATAATGTAGTGTAAACTATGTGTTAATGCTTTCTTTTTTCTGATTTAATGCTGTTGCTGCTGCTGCTACGGCGAATACTACTACTACTATTATTATTACTACTAATAAAATTAGCAATAATTCCAATTTTAAAGTAATACACACAACCAATATTTTTGGTGACTTTCGTTTAAGTTAAACCAAATGAGTACAGGCATTCCTCCATTTAAATACCACTTTTGGTACTATGGTTTTTATAGTCTTTAGTGGCATTGGGCTCAAATTATACAAATAAAGACGAAGGCATGTGTTAATCTAGGACAAGGGAAAGCTGGTATTTAATTGGTAATGATCTTTATTTGCAGGGTCTTTAATTAGAGGGATGAATCAGATGAATATATTTCAACAAGTTCGAATTAATAGTTTACTTGAATGTTTTTCAAATTTATATTTATTTTAAAACCATGAAATCAATCATATAACCCTAATTGATTACAAGGGGGGAAAATAAATCTTGAACTTAACACTATTTAGTTTTGAAGATGTACCGGTACGCTAAATCGTAAAATGTGTGTAATCACATACCTTGGACAGTTATGGTAAATGTACAAGTAGCATTATTCCCTGACGAGTCATTAACCGTAATGGTGAACATGACGTGTGCTCCGATTCCAATATTAACAGGAAATGTTTCATTGGGATAAGGTATGATTGTAGAGGCATTCCCGGAGTTGTCACTTGCATTTATTTTACTTGAATAGTCAACTGACGCCGTGGCTTTGCCCTCATAAGTATCCACAGTCTCGTTCGGTGGACATTTTAATGTAGGCTTTTCGGTGTCTGTAGCAAAGTTAAATACAATTCAACCAATAATTATTACATGATCGGTTAATTAATTTATTTGTTTTTTTATTTTAAGTTCAGTTCATCAAACGTCTTTTAAACATGTTAAATTTGACATTTGTTCTAAATAGTGTTATTTGCCATTTCTTCTGCTTTATTTACTAACCTTGGACTGTTATTGTAAACGAGCAATTATCAGTATTCCCTGATGAATCCGCAACTGTATAATTGTATTTGAGTTCCTGTCTCTTATACACATCTACGTGTGCTCCGATTCCAATATTAACAGGAAATGTTTCATTGGGATAAGGTATGATTGTAGAGGCATTCCCGGAGTTGTCACTTGCATTTATTTTACTTGAATAGTCAACTGAAGCCGTGGCACTGCCCTCATCAGTATCCACAGTCTCGTTCGGTTGACATTTTAATGTAGGCTTTTCGGTGTCTGCAGCAAAGTTAAATATATTTTAATCAATAATTAATAAGCGATCTTTTACTAAAATATTTGCTTTTATTCTAGTTTAGTCTGTCGATCAAATTTTATTAAATATATGTTGTTAAATTTCACATCTGTTATAAATAGTCTTATTTTGCTTTTCTTCAGGGTTTTCTATTTGTATTCGTATTCCGTATAATAATATTTATTAAGGTAAGCATAAATAGTACAAAATCAAAAACAAAAAAGTAAAATATGACAGTGACAATGACCATAAAAGCAACAGATTGTCATGAAAACTTAACAAAACAATAGCTGTATCATAGAATACTGATAATAAATTTATTAAATTATTAAAAATCATATTAATATGCCATGTAGTTTAACAACATTTGTCAAAGTATTTGGCATAGCGGATCTATTGGTGGTTTATTAAATGAATGGAAAACTTATTTTGAAGTATATAGAAAATCTATTGGCATGATTCACTGTATAATACTAAGGTAAAATTATTATATATTAAATATATGTTAATTTTAAAATGTGCGTAATCACTAACCTTGGACATTTATAGTAAACGTACACGTATCAGTATTCCCTGAAGAGTCATTAGCCGCAAAAGCGAACATGACGTGTGCTCCAATTCCAATATCAACAGGAAATGTTTCATTGAGTAATGGTGAGATTGTAGGGATATCCCCGGAGTTGTCACTTGCATTTATTTTACTTGAATAGTCAACTGACGCCGTGGCCTTACCGTCGTCAGTATCTATAGTCTCGTTCGGTGGACATTTTAATGTAGGCTTTTCGATGTCTGCAGCAAGTTAAATACATTTTAATCAATAATTAATAAGCGATCCTTTTACTAAAATATTTGTTTTTTTTTTAAGTTCAGTCAGTCGTTCAAATGATTTTCAAATGATTTTAAACATGTTGTTAAATGTGACATCTTTTATAATTAGATTTATTTTGCTTTCCGTCTAATTTATTATATTTTTGTAAGTATTTTGTATTCATTCATTAAGGTACGAAAATATAAGTACTTACCGGTAATGAAAAGAGATTGTCATCAAAGCTTACCAAAAACAATAGCTAATACAGTATTATAGAATACTGATAATGAATAAAAGAATTTCTAAAAAGCATATTAATATGACATCGTTTAACCATATTATTATGTATGAGCTTTTGGCGCAGAGATTAATTTTTGTTTTATTAAATTTCTGGAAAAATATTGTAAAGCACATAAATGAACTGTTGGTATGATTCACTATATAACACGAACGTATTAATACTATTATATTAATAATAATAATATTTTTTTTTCAAGTTTATATACATCTTAGTACTAACCTTGGACTGTTATTGCAAACAAGCAATTATCAGTATTTCCTGAGGAATCCGCAACTGTAAAATTGTATTTGTGTTCTCCAATTCCTAGCTCAGTAGGAAATGTTGCACATGGATCAGGAGAGATTGTAGTGATATTCCCGGAGTTGTCAGTTGCATTTATTTTACTTGAATAGTCAACTGACGCCGTGGCCTTACCGTCGTCAGTATCTATAGTCTCGTTCGGTGGGCATTTTAATGTAGGCTTTTCGATGTCTGCAGCAAGTTAAATACATTTTAATCAATAATTAATAAGCGATCCTTTCACTAAAATATTTGTTTTTTATTTAAGTTCAGTCAGTCGTTCAAATGATTTTCAAATGATTTTAAACATGTTGTTAAATGTGACATCTTTTATAATTAGTTTTATTTTGCTTTCCGTCTAATTTATTATATTTTTTGTAAGTATTTTGTATTCATTCATTGAGGTACGAAAATATAAGTACATACCGGTAATGAAAAGAGATTGTCATCAAAGCTTACCAAAAACAATAACTAATACAGTATTATAGAATACTGATAATGAATAAAAAAATTTCTAAAAAGTATATTAATATGACATCGTTTAACCATATTATTATGTATGAACTTTTGGCGCAGAGATTAATTTTTGTTTTATTAAATTTCTGGAAAAATATTGTAAAGCACATAGAGGAACTGTTGGTATGATTCACTGTATAACACGAACGTATTAATACTATTATATTAATAATAATAATATTGAGTTTTTTTTTTCAAGTTTATATACATCTTAGTACTAACCTTGGACTGTTATTGTAAACAAGCAATTATCAGTATTTCCTGAGGAATCCGCAACTGTAAAATTGTATTTGTGTTCTCCAATTCCTAGCTCAGTAGGAAATGTTGCACATGGATCAGGAGAGATTGTAGTGATATTCCCGGAGTTGTCAGTTGCATTTATTTTACTTGAATAGTCAACTGACGCCGTGGCACTACCCTCATCTGTATCCACAGTCTCGTTCAGTGGACATTTTAATGTAGGCTTTTCGGTGTCTGTAGCAAAGTTAAATACAATTCAACCAATAATTATTACATGATCGGTTAATTAATATATTTGTTTTTTTATTTTAAGTTCAGTTCATCAAACGTCTTTTAAACATATGTTAAATTTGACATTTGTTCTAAATAGTGTTATTTTGCCATTTCTTCTGCTTTATTATATATCAAAAGTCTCGTCATTTGGGCAACTTAATTTAGGTTTTTCGGTATCTGTAGCAAAAGTTAAATTTATTATAATTTATAACTTTAAATTAATACACGATCCCTCAACTAACGTATTTGATTTTAAGAAGTACTGTCGGTCGATCAAATAATGATACCACTTATAACATACTTTTATTTTAACGTAGCAACAAATATGTGTTATTTAGTGTCTTTTTTTTCTTACTTAATATATTTTAGACCTTAAAAGCAACAGGTTGTCAATAAAAACTTAAACAAAAATATTAGTGATATTCGGATAATGTCCATATAGATCAAAGAATAACAATAATAATTAATAATAAAATAACATAAGAAAATAATATTATTAATGTGACATATATAATAATATTAATATAGCAGCAATTGTCGAGATATATCATTGCAATGACACATGTATTTTTAATGATACGTAATTACTAACCTTCAACCGTTATTGTAAACGTACACGTATCACTGTTTCTCGTCGATTCTATAGCTGTAAAGGTGAATTTTTTCGTTCCAATATCAAGATGAGCTGGAAAGATCTGAGTAGGATCGGGAGAGATCACTGAATTGTTACCACAGTTGGTGAAAATTGCACTAGAATAGTTAATTGAAGCCGTGGCCGCTCCAGTGTCGGTACCCACAGTCACGTTAGATGGGCATGTCAGTGCAGTTGTTTCTATAGAATGGAATAAGTGAATTAAAATTGATTAATATTATCATCATCATCATCATCCTCACCACCATCCTCCTCTACATCATTATTTTTATGCAACCATTTTCCGGATGACGACATAATTAATGTCGAAATATTGAATCCCGACACGATGGCGTGCATTTAGGATTTTTTAAGACTAAGCATTTCGATACTTGGAGTATTATACTATTTGAAATTAATCAGTGAACCTTCCAGTTTTTCAACTTTCGTATCGTTAGTTTTTGGGAAGTATATAAAACATAATTCTGGCTCACAATTTTAGGAAATTTGTGGCTTACAGAGCTTACGACTTGTTTAGAAGCGACAATATTTTCAGAACATAACTGTTTATATTAGCTATAATAAAACATGTCGAAAATTATACGGAAATGATAATATCGCTGACGTTTCATATCAGTTACCTAACATATTCATAATTTTATTTACAAAACTCTGTTTTAGTTTTTTAGAACATACATGTTGCTATTTATTTTTTTAAATATCGTGTCCATATACAATTTCTGATCTTTGACAATATAATGTTTTAAATCACAAATATTTTAAACATGACCTGAATTCTTCTCCAGTGTTAGGAAAACAAATAATACTATTATATTAATAACAACAACAACAATAATAATAATAATAATAATAATAATAATAATAATTATTATTATTATTATTATTGATGATAATGATGACGAAAACGATGCTGACGACGACGATGATGAGGAAGAAGATGCGGATGATGTTGAGAATTAGGATGATGATGAGGATGATATAATGTTGATATAATAGTAAAGTATTTATAAAGCGCCAATATCACAAATCCGGAGCAAAACTCAAATGCGCTATGCATGTTTAGATGTTTAAAATGTTGTTTTATGCTCTCGGTTTTTAAAATAACACCTGAAGGTAATTCGGAACAATGTGTTTAGGAAACGATTTCAAAAGAGTGGCAGGTAATAGATATGATGTGCGACCGCTGGATTTGTTGTTAACTTGAGGAACAATTAGCAAAAAGGTCGGTAATTATTTCTATTTATCCATTTCAATTCTTCTTCACGTCTATTAAAAAGAAGATGAAAAATTACTGTCGAAGAAAATAAATATCAAGTCGTTAATACAATGTTAAGGGAAATGACAATCTACTTGAAAAAAGATGGCGAACTTAGTTATCTTGTCTATGGTCAGGCTTACGTTGGCGGGTAAAAGTTGGACAGTAGTCGAGGACGACGGGATACGGTTATCATTAATTTTGGGTTGATAATAAGAAAGGATTGAAACAGCAGGTTAAATTAATTGAAAGGTATAATCATTATTGAGAAAATGCGATTAATTTCGTCAATTTCTTGGTCGTAATCACCCAGAGAATAGCAACTTCGTTTGACACTTAGACACTGACTAAATGCAGTATATCTTTAAGGGCTTAATGGGTAAAACTTATTAAATGCATGGCTATCAGTCGGGCCTACGAATAGTAAAATAAGGAAAATATGATAGCGTTGTTAGTAAAAAGTCCAAAGAGTAAATTGAAAAAAAAAATGAATCTTGGAAAGAGAAGTTTCGAAAATAAATTTAATATTAGGATGTTAATTACATGTAATTTAAACATATTTAAATAGGCTTAAGCGAATTGACATCATTTTACCAAATTTAGATTATTAAATACAAAACAAATTCTATTTTAATATTGGTCTTTGTACTATATAATGGTGATGGTAATGGTCTTCTATTTATATGCCGCATAATACATGCAATGTATCTATGCGCTTTATAACCAGTGGCTTGTCAGGAAGTCTTGTTGGTGTTGATCGGGAGGGGGAGGTGCGAAGGTGAATTGGGGGGAAGGGGGTTCGATGATCAGTTGAGGGGCGCTAATTCGCGAAATACGGTGATTTTATGTAATTTTTAACTACTTTAGCTTGATTTTTTGGGTGGGGTGGGTGGGGGGGGTGGGGGGTGGGGGGTGGGCGAGTAAATTTTGGAGAGGCGTGCTCCTGGCACACCCCATAGATACGACACTGTTTATAACCAGTTGAGAAGAGACAAAAGAAAGAAAGAAAATAATAATAAAGATAGTAAAGGAGATAAATTTATATAATAATTATTAACGGATTTTGATGATTTAGACAATACGTTTGCAGAATTTTTGTGTGGGCTTTTTTCCTTACAGAACTTTTTGTAACTATGTATTACTTTTTGAATATGAGCTTTTTTACATTCTATAATACATTTTAAAATTATTAGCAAGTAGTTTAGATGATGTAGGTGGAGGTCTGCTGGAGTTTCAGGTTAGAGTTGAGGTGGTTGTAGCGTTGGAAATACCTATGTGTCACTGGGTCACTGGGGCTTTCGTTGGATGTTCGAATCCGATTTGTGACAAAAGATTTCACACTCTAAAATACTAGTTTTTTTATACGCCCTCTTCTTAAGCATCTTGATTGATTGATTGACTTTATTTGATGTTTCACACATAGAACATTTATAAAGAAGCATGAATATCAGGAATAAGAAGAACAAAACAAAAAAACAAAAAGAGGGTCGCATACATTTAAAATTGTTTGTATCATACAATAAATTTACAAATAAAAATTGCACATTGGAAAACTATTTACAATTACTAAAAAGTAAAATTACACAATCTTATTACCATTATTTTCAACACATAGTCCTTCAATGATACAAATGTTATCGACTGCTATCGTTCCGTAAGAAGCATATCCTCGTAACCTCAGCTCGTAATTGTAACGGTTAATTAATTGTAAACTGACATACTCCCATTGAACACTGCTGTCACCACGAACGAAGAATACAGTCCAAAATGAATTACTATTATCTTGATAGATGCGTAGATATTGGTTTACATCACTCGCATAATAGTAAAATGTCAAGCAAAATTCTCCCCAAGTAGCTTGTATTTTAGGACTTCTAAGGTACCCGTCTCGACTTCCAGATGAGGATTGTACATATATGTAATAACCATCTGAAAATCAAAGAAAAATTATATTTTAATGATAGGTCTATATTTTGATATTGTCACTGAAGATTTTAAAGAAATGGTCAGCTATATTTTTCTTCTTTTCAAATTATTGTCTTTATTAACAGCATTAATTTGTTTTATAATTTTCCTTCTAACACGTTTATATTGCTATCACTTTGTCATTTATTTGTTATTTATTATTATTATTACTATTATTATTATTGCTATAATTATTATGGTTATAATTAACATTATTATTATAATTTCTATTATTATTATTATTATCATTGTTAGGATAATGATCATATCATTATCCTTTATTAATAATATTGTAAATAGTATTATTACTAATTGTTTCAATGTTCTTATTGTTATTGTTATCGTATATCATTATTATTATTATTATTATTATTATTATTATTATTATTATCATTATTATTTATATTATTATTGTTGTTATTGTTATTGTTATAGTCGTACCATAATTCATGTAGGGTTTGAACATACAGGTGCTTTTATTTTGTAAACTTTTTATAAATTTGGTGGTCGGTAGAGTAATACTGAAAGATAATGGATTTTAACACTTAATTAAACTCATTCCTTTACAGTTTGTCTAATTAAATCATTTTAATATTTGATCATTTAATCAAGTCCTAACTATACCAATGTTTATAATTCTTTACGCATACGATTGATATTGTTATCTGTAGCGAATGTTACTGATGACTGTTTTGTAAATAAATTATTTACAGTATACATTGCAGGTAAAAATAACAAAAGTCAAGGCCTTGTGCATTAACTTGACCTGTATAGTTTGAGTTGTTTTTCTGGCGTCCTCAACGGTCTACAATTCTTGACAATGTTACTATTGTTAAGAAAGTGTAATACATACTCCAAGTAACATTGTAAAGAATTGTAGACCGTTGAGGACGCCAGAAAAACAACTCAAACTATACTGGTCAAGTTAATCATTCCTGATAATGACATAATTAAAGTCAAAATATTGAATCCCAACACGATGGCGTGTATTTCAATGCTTGGAGTATGTATTATACTTTCTTATCTGAGATTAATCAGTGAACCTTTCGGTTACTATTTTTTTTATTTATTTGTTCTACTTTTTAAAAAATATTTTCCTTTTAAATTTATTACCGCATTATTGTTACGCCATCTTCACCGTTTTTGTCATTCTCCACCAAAAGTTGCTGCTTCTATTGTTTTAGCTTTTCCTTCGTTAGCAGAAAAAAAGAAAACATTGTTTTTGTTCTAACTTTAGTTTTTTCCTGCGTTAGCAGAAAAAAAAGTTGTCGATCTGACTTTCTATCCGGTTTTTCTATTTTTAATTTTGTTGCACAGGGATATGGCCGGGATGATTTTGATGATTTTTTGTGCTTGGATCTTCTTCGATCAAAGCAAAGACCATGCATTATATAAAATATGTGCATATTAAGATATGACGTCATTATACATCTTTTTAATATTCTTAAATGGGTAATTAAACTTTCATGTTAACGCAATTTGCGTTTCCTATATCGTTTTAAACTAGCTACAGCTATATTTAACGCAAAATTACCGTAAAATTAATAAACTATTTTTTATAGTATACCGTATATATCTGTCTCTTATACACATCGAGATTTGTATAAGAGACAGGTTGAGAAGAGCAATATTTTTTTATAAGCGCCGCTCTTGAATAAGCGCCGCACTGAAGTCGCCAACAAACGTATAAGCGCCGCGGCGCTTATTCCAGCATTTACGGTAATGCGCATGTTTTGTTTTTTTTTACTATTTGAAATAATATAAAATTATCAAAAATTTACTATTTATCATTCGTTTTTCAGTATTCGTTTTTTTTTGTAATAATATTATTATTATTTATATTATTATGTAATAATATTATTAATATATTTAAAATTATTATTAGTGCTATGAATAATAATAATATCAATTATAAATATATTATTATGATTATTATTATGAATATTGATATTAGTTTTATTATCGATATTATCAATACTAATAATAACAATATTAATATTAATGATCATGTTATTATTAGGCCTATTATTATTATTTTCATTATAAATATTATTATTATTATTATTATTATTATTATTATTTTAAATATTATTATTATTATCGTAATGTTTTTATCAATAATTAAAAATCATTACCATTATTATCACTATCATAAATATCTTTATCGTTATTACTAAACTGTTACCAGGGCTTGTTATTATACTTCGTAAACATTCTTCATCTATAGAGCATTAATTTACTGTAAAGATATAGTAAGTTTAAACTGAAACTGACCTTGACCAATACCGATACTCCCAGAGGAACGCGTCCACAGATAAGAACTAGAGTAATAATTAGTCCAGCCACACCAGTTATATTCGAAGTCACTGCAATTACCACCTGTTTAGATAGTAATAAAATATTTTCATATTAAATAGCTAGCAATATTTCGACGAAAGAAAATACGCCTACGAGAGTTCTTTGTGAATGTTTACGTTGTAAATAAAAGAGAAGAAGAAAAAGAAAACAAAATAATTATTTTGAAGTTAATAACTTTTCAGATAACATATTAAATCGAACAAGGCATTTACTTCTGTAGCTTAGATAAGTTCCTTTGAACATCTACACCAATAATATTGCAGTTGCAAGTGTTTCTAACTAATTTGCTAAAGTTTAAAAAAATAATATTATTTAGGCCTATAGGCCTAATACTGATGGATTGTGATATACATTTTTCAGTACCGTTATGATGGATATTGTATTTTGAAATAAATGTTCTTATAATAAAGCATCTCAAAATTTATATTTCTTTTAATGGCAACACAGTTAAGTACAACAATTATCGATTTAAGTTTTCGACGGGAAAGATAATTTAGAATATAAATTGTTAATTTTATTCATCAACCAAGAAAATATTTCCATAACTTATTTACCATATTTATTTGTTGAATATTAATTATTATTATTATCTATATTTATCACTACGTTTTTTTTCTTTATATTACTGTAATGAGATATAGGCCTATCATTTTTCCTTGCGTGTCACGTAATAATATAAATGTCGCTCTTTTGTCTTCGTACTTTGTAAAACTTAATTTGGTATTTTGGACTTTCAAACTTTTTAGTACACCTTGTCACACTTTGCAACAGGACATAATGAAGCTGTTGCACTTTGTAATAATTAATATTACAAATCTGTGTTTATAGTAGATCCTATATCTTTGCATAGATTTCCTGAAATTATCGTATGCTATGTGTGTGTCATAACCACAAGGTTTTGGGTCAAGTTTATGAAAATCATGCTTTCTTAATACATTATTTCCATGTATAAGCATCCTACTAAGCATCTAATCACCTAAATATTCTACTGTTTACAATAAGCATCCTACCTTCAAACTTTGTAAGTATCAGTACTTTGTGGCGGAAGGGTATACTGACCGCAGTCTCATGTTCTGCAATAGCTCACAGCTTAAATATCGTCAAAATTAATGTTGATGATGATGATTGGTAATGCTGTTAAAATGATACAATGATGCTGGTAATGATGAAGTTAATGATAATGACATTGATAATAAAACAAAAATATGAAAAAAATCAAATTATACAAAATAGAAGAAGAAAAAATACGGTAATTCAGATAAGAAAAAAATAAAGAAAATAGAATAATCAAAAAAAAAAAAAAAAAAAAAAAAAAAAAAAAAAAAAAAAAAAAAACAAAACAAAAACCCATTGACTTTTCTGCTAACGCATAGAGGTTCTCTACATGAAATGAGGTAAAAAGAGCAAATAATTAGGCAAAATTGAAAATTTAACAACAATATTTAGCGGAAATAGATTACTTAGCCTATATTAAATACTTATCACACTGATAAGTTTATTACACTTAAGAAGGAAATAGCTCTGTGACGTTTTGTACTCATAACCAGTCTACTTACAAGATTTAAATGGAAATATGTACTTATTAAATAGGTAGAATTCGTTTTGTTGGATTAATTTAGGTTAATTATATTCATTAATTATTAATTTAGGTTTAATTTAACCAACATTTCTAATCCAGTTTATTTTTTATTATAAAATAATTAAATTTGGTGACGTGTCAACCTGTTATAATATATAGGTTGCTTACCAATTTTTTCAAAAAAGATAAAGAAAAATTACAAATACGTAAAAGGAGCATTTCTAGTTAACAAGTGTGACAATGCTTATTAGAAATTGCAACAGGTTATAACAAAGTGCCACTTTTATTACAACACAGGTATTACAAATATTGCGGAGGCAATTATTACAAAGTTGGCCTCGCACTTCAGTAGAGTATTAAAAATATAATATCAGGTTAGCGTAGTCAAATCTCAATAGGAACAATATGTTTTTCCATTTTATTTATATTAAACAAAGTAGAATTCCTGTCACTAGGACACCTCCTTCGGGACCAAAGAAATTGTTGCCTTAAATTTTGTGTTTCCTGAATAGGAGTACCCATATTTAGGAGACACTGATCAAAAAATATGAAATTGTTTTCTTAATAGGGGTTTGGCAGGTAATAATATAATGATGAAATTGCTTTTTTGTTAATGTTATGTTAATTAACCTAAAAATTACAATTTATAATTAAACTTAGTTGTATTAATAATTTACAATTGTCACAAGTGAGCGGAATCCTACTCTATTTATGATATTGTTGTCATGAAAGAAAGGAAATGATCTTGTGAACTTTAGGGGTGCACTTTCCATGCAATGCAATTTGAAATTCAGGGAGTGGTACATCTGAGGAGAGACTCAAATGAGAAATAATCGTCAGTGTGATAGTACAGGGGAAAAAAAAAATTAAAAGTATAAAGCGTTAGTTCCAGTTTTTTAAATTGTCTCATGTTAAACTGGCGAAAGCACTAGGTAGCTGGAAATAATAAGATAGTTTGGGATAAGAAGGCCGAGTTTATATATTTTTTAGGAGCCAGTAATTACTGGAAGTTGAAAGTACACAAAAAATTAATATTATAGGCTTATTCTGTGATTATTTTGTTCATTTGCAGTTGATTATATCGATTTATAGTTTGTTTTAGCTGATTATTGATAATGTTAGTATAATTGATGTATTCAAATATAAGAAATATATGGTTATATTACATAGACTATGTAGATACGAGTACGTGATTGGTTGAAATGACATCACGTGTCTAGTGCTACGAGGATCGGAAACGATATATTTCCCCGTTGGGAAATATAACTTTGAAAAGTGACCGGTCTCTGACGTCACCGGATTACACCCGCATTGCGCCGGTAGAATGCTAGTCGAGTGCACGATCGATCGCTCACGAATTGTGAATGTGGAAAGCCTAGCGCTTCGAAAATGGCGACGAAGACGAAAACGAATTGGATAGAATTATTGACGAAAAGGATTCTCGGTGTACAAAATTTGTTGTGAATTCATCCGTTAATGTAGGCACTCAGTGAATATTGTAAGGCCGAGGAATCATCAAATTAGGCGCAGGTGCATTAAAAATTTCCCATCAACGGAGCTCAACGAGTTACGTTACTACGGTCATTCTACGCTGAGGTAAGGAGAGCAAACGGTGAATAATTGTAGGCTAAACGATCAATGATAACGCTACGCTACGGACTACAACAGAAACATTTTTAAAAAGTGACGGTAATATGAAGTATTTTGGCTATGTAATATGACAGATATTGTGTAAAACTTCTTGATATTTAAAGTACCGGTAATGTGTTCAGTTAATTATTTGCATCCATTTTTGGCTATGTAATATAACAGATATTGCCTTTCTATCGGTGTATAATAACATTTGATATCCCCTTGGGAATTATATTTTTTCTCAGGACTATATTTTCCCTCAGCGCTACGCGCTTCAGGAAAATATAATCCTTCGAAAAAAATATAATTCCCTCGGGATATCAAATGTTATATTACACCTCTAAGCAGGCAATATCTGTATAATATTGGAAAAACCTTGATTCTTAATGCAACATATACAGTACTGATACTCCCAATAAAATCTTTGGAAATCTAGTTAGCTAACGAATTACGAAATCTAACGTACAATAGGCTTTTAATTAATAACCCATAATGTACAAATGTCATATCTTTTGATTAATGTGAATTTCAGGGCTGCCTCGATAATTTGAATTAAGGAACTAAATGTTAAATATTGTCTGCTTATATACAAGAAGAAACAAGAAAAATGAAGAATAGCAAACATAGTTAGTATTTGGGAACTAAATGCTAAAAACTGTCTGATTGAAGATGGGACACTGTATTCCGATGGACCGCTAACTTCACTGAACATACCTGGCACATGAGCTGAGCTGGAAACGTCTTGTGCAAGCGAAAGTTTTGCCATTGAATCAACCAAAAGTAGAAATTGTATCGATGCATTTATTTAATGATTGAATTGCGATTAAGACATTGTAAATTTGTACTAAATGTCCAGCGGTCCACTCCAAATGAGGGAGTAAGAAGTAAATTTGGAAGGTTCCCTATTAAATTTTATCACGTTATTAAAATGATAAGTTATTGGATAAAAATTAATAATGATGGAACATTCTAGGTTACCTAAAATATGTTATCAAAGGCAATTGTGGGCTGAAAACGGAACCGACTGACTGTTGGACATTCGGAATAAAATCGATTTTAAACATGTTGGGATCTGGGTACATGTGGGACTCGTCTGCAAATAAGAATTTCTTAGCAATTTTTTACAGAGAGAGTTCGGGACATTGCACTGCACACAGGAAATGAAATGATAAAAGATAACATAAGATTAACATTTTATAGCTCACTAAACATACCAAATTCCCTTAACAAATACATTTTTCATTTAAATTTTAAACTAAGAACAACACGATTTCTTTTTTCAAACCATAATTTATTAATAGAAAGAGATCGTCATATAATTATTACTGGAAAAAATATATGTTTATTTTGCGATAATTGTGTTATAGAAGACGAAAACCAATTTCCTGTTAGTGTGTCCTTTTTTATAAAGGCATCAGAAAGCAATACATTCTCGACTTAAACTTATTTTCACTCAGTGATATTTTTGTAAATTATAATTTTCATAAAATACGTCGTCTATCTATTTATTTAAAGAAAGCATTTAAAATTAGAATATTTTGTGTGTCCGAATATGGTATAAACATGTGATTTGTAAAATGGGCCAGAGGCCATTATTTACGAAATAAAGAAATGAATGAATAAATGAATGAATGATTGAACTCCACACGTGTAATTGTAGGTAAGGTATTTTGGCGGGGGTTAGTTTAATATTTGTATTTTGATCTTGGTGAACTTATTGTTTGGTGCTTTAGTTTAGGACTTGCTGCTTTGGGGTTGATTATAGTTAAGGTATTGAATTGTGGGGAACCGATCTATATTTTTTAGTAGGTTAATATTGATGTATAATAAATGGTTACGTAAAAAGGGGATCCAGATTTGTCCAACAGGGGGCCGAAAGAGGGTGAATGTGGGCTGATCGAGACAACGCTACACTAGGGGATCCGGGGGCATCCCCCGCGAAATTCCAGACGTGATCCTTTTAAAGGTTGTTAACACGGTTAATCTTATTTGTGACAGCAATGCTAATACAGAACAATTATAATATGACATAAACATGAATGAAATTATACCAATAAAATTTGTATTGTTCCTTGGTTCAAGTGCTGTCAGAGATACAGCAGCATAGAGTGATGACTTAGCCATAAGGGTAAAAGTTACGCTATAAATTTTAATCCTATATGAAGAAGTACACAGAAAAAATAAATAAAACTACTATTCCCATAAATAAGGTTAAATATTGAAAAGATTAGTTGGTACGAAGTAACGCATACTGTGAGACTACATAGGCCTACCGATAGCAATTTTAAGGATCAAGAACAAAAAAATCTGGTTTAATGTTAAATGCATGTCAAGTTGTCACAATATAAATTGGAATTAAATATTGTAGTTTTGAGTTTATTGTAGACGTAGTAATACGATGCAGATTAGTATTACAATTTTAAAAAAGTGTCTACCTAATTAGTTGAAAATGTATTGATTCGACCATATTGGACACTCGGAAATTGTCCCAGTCCCCTTAAATAGGGGTGTTCCTTTATAGGGATGTGCCGTTGTTTAAAAAGATATATTTCCCAAGGATATTTTAGAAAAATTCTCTTAATATGGGTGTCCCAAAGAAGGGGATTTGCGTAATAGTATATTTTACATTAGTGGAAAGTTACATTTTACACTATGATAATTTGCCTTTTTTTTGTATTGATCACTACTTTGAAAACATTGTCCTATTGGGAAAGTGCAGAATTGTATTAATGTATGCTAAAGTTTCTCTACAAACGGTTCTTGGGTTGATCAACAGGAGGTCGTGCTTCGAAGGTCGTCCATTCGTAAAAGCAGCCTTTTAAAGTCTGTTTTCTACTAGGCGAATTTATTCGCGCTAATCAAATACTTCGGTTCTTGCGCATACGCTTTCACATTTCTATCAGAGTGTTTTGCTTCAGCGAAATTAGTAGTTCGAACTATTTCCACTTCTTGCTAAGCTAAAAAATGCGCAACCAATTAGAGCTTAGGATAAGAACCGACTCAAAGAAATCGAAAAGTGGAAAAACAGTTTAAACAAACTTAATGGGGGAAGTGTCTATTTAACAAGGGTTGGCTACAACAAGTATGATATGGTCTAAACATGTCTAAAGTTACCGTATGTAATTTCTTTCCTGAATTCCAAAGTTTAACATCGGCAAACACATTAAAACACTACAAAACAAAGCTGACATATTGAAAACCCACGAATTGAAACTAAACTAAACTAAAACTCATGGAAGCTCAACATATATAATAATAATATTTGTATTAATTATCATTATAATAATAAAACTAATTAGACTCGGAGCTAGAGTCAATTAAATAATAGGCCTACATTTGTAAATAATCACAAATGAAATATTGTTATTTAATCATACAAAGAAGTGTGTTATTTTCTATTCACTTCATTTTTAATGTTGTATTTACTGTCTTTGAAGAGGGGCGACAGGGACGGACTCATAATAGTTTCTGTTGTCTCTCGACCATTTTATTAACAGTAACTTGGATCTATTTATTTTCAAGGTTTGTTTATAAATGGTTTAATAATTTTTCAATAAAAATGAAGATAAAACAGCTGTCGGTCAAATATAAATCCGGCTATTATTATAATAATAATTATTATTATTGTTAATAATAATAATAATAATAATAATAATAATAAATTTTATCACAATGAAAGATGTGTATAAGAGACAGATTAATGAGTCAAATGAGTTGAATTAGAATTGTAAATTCATTATAATTTATTATTATTATTATTATTATTATTATTATTATTATTATTACTATTACTATTATTATTATTATTATTATTATTATTATTATTATTATGATAAAGTAGTTTTATATAGTGCACATATCCATCTAATATAAGATGGTCAGGGCGCTTGATATGTGTAATAGGAATTCGATCAAAGACTTTCTTCGCCCCTAAGGGTCCCTTCATGTCTGTCGACCACCACTGGGGCTGTCTGTTCTAGTACATTGGGGTATCCCCCTATTCGTCTCGAAGAGATGTACTGGGTTCTTTATCGTGCACACGAGCCATTGTATACACAGGGCCTACGGTTTATAGTCTTTATCCGAGAAGACTTGTTCTACAACCAGAACCATAGACGAGCTTGCCGTTCATACCAGCGCCGATATTTTGGCTGTAGCTTGCGGCGCCATTTGCTAACCACTCGGCCATTTGACTCACAGAGATTGATTAAACGACTGTAATTTTTTATATATAAATATATATATATATGTATATTATATATATATTATTATATATGTGACCTTTAGATATGCAAATGTTAGTTCATAAATGTACAAGAAGAAACAAGAAGAATGAAGAATAAACAAAGAGAGTTTAGTATCAGAACGAACCCACTTCGAATCCCGTTAATTACAATTATAAGATTTTCATTAAAAAAAATCTAAGTTTTTTTAATGGTATTTTTAAATTAAATCCATAACATTAAAGAATGAATTTATTTGCTCTAATTTTAACAATGCAAAAAAAAAAATAAATAAATAAATAAAAATATAAAAAATAAATAAATAAAAAATAGAATAAACATGAAATGAGTAGGGATCAGAAAAAGTTCATTTTACTGTTTTGTCTTCCCACAGTATATTCACACTTAATACTTACATCAGCAATTACTATTAAATAATACATTTATTTGCTCTAATTTTAACATTGCAAAAAAATAAATAAATAATTAAAAAATAAAAAAAAAATAAAATAAAATCATAGAATAAACATGAAATGAGTAGGGATATGAAAACGTTTATTTTATTGTTTTGTCTGCCCGCAGTATATTCAAAGCTTATAACTAATTGTGCAGACGTAAGAAAAAATTACCTTCATTTTTCAAACATATTCCTTCAGTGATATAGATATTATCAACAGCCACCATTTCTGTAGCGTCTAAAACTCTTCCATTAAGCTCCAGGTAAAGACTGCTAGGATGATTGGTCAAATATAGACTGGCATACTTCCATTGACTGCTGTAGTCGCCAAAAATTTCGAACAAATCATATGAATGATAATTATCCTTGATAACTATTAGTTGACTGCTATCTCCACTTATATAATAGTAAAAATTGAGACAAAGGTCACTCCAAGTAGCTGGTATTGTTTGAATATTTAGGAATGCGTACCGGTATTGAGTTCCAGAAATGGAATTTAAATATATATAATAACCATCTGAAAATCAGAAAAGAAATTAAATTATTTATAAGAAGGGTTTTTTCTTTCAAAAAATGTCAACTTCTCATTTTCTTCCTTTCCTCTTCCTCTTCATCAAAATCATCAACTTGCTTTATAGTTTACATTCGACATCGCACCGTTTATTAAACCAACGATCAATTGCTATCACTTCGCAATACTGATAAAAATTATTTATTTATTATTTATTATTATTCCTATCATGATGATAATTATTCGTATTATGATAATTATTATTCGTATTATGATGATAATTATTATTCGTATTATGATGATAATTATTATTCGTATTATGATGAACTTATCATTCGTATTATGATGATAATTATTCGTGTTATGGTGATAATTACTATTCGTATTATGATAATTATTATTCGTATCATATGATAATTATTATCCGTATTATGATGATAATTATTATTCGTAATATGATAATAAATATTATTCGTATTATGATAATAAATATTATTCATACTATGATAATAAATACCATTCGCATTATGATGATAATAATTATTATTCGTATTATGATGATAACTATTATTCGTATTTTGATGCTAATTATTATTCGTATTATGATGATAATTATCATTCGTGTTATGATGATATTTATCATTTTTATTATGATGATAATTATTAGGCCTATTCGTATTATGCTGATTATTATTCGTGTTATGATGATAATTATTATTCGTATTATGATGATAATTATTATTTGTAACATGATGATAATTATTATTTATATGATGATGATAATTATTATTCGTATTATGACGATAATTATTAATCGTAATATGATAATTATTATTCGTATTACGATGATAAATATCATTTGTATTATGATGATAAATAATATTCGTATTATGATAATAAATATTATTGGTATTATGATGATAATAATTAATCGTAGTTTAATGATAATCATTATTCGTATTATAATGATAATTATTATTCTATAATATGATGATAATTATTATTCTAAAAATATTTATCGTATTATGATAACATTATTATTATTCTTTATAATGATAATAGTAATTACTATATCGTACTATGACAAAAATTAGGGAGCTTTGGAATGCCCGAGGATGTGACACCAGAACGTTGTAATGCATAGCAGCCCAAGGCGCAATCGGACAGGCCCCACCGATTCAACCGACTATAGCCTGGTTTTCATAAATATCTACACGCTATCGCATACTCCTTTGGCGACGCTGAATCAGGGAGCGTTCCCGATTGCGTAGGGGACAGCATACGCAGTGCAATGATTGTAGTTAAAACACTGTAGCGACTGTGTAGCGATTTTATGGAAACTAAGCTTTGCTCGTGCGTTACCGTCCTTCGTTTTTGGTACAACGTAGATTTGGCTAAATTGTGTACTAGAATCTACGCAACAAACGAGAACCTAACGTTCTCGCATGCGCAGACTAGACTGGGTGCAGTAGGAAATTAGCGGGAAAAAAGTAAAGGAAAATTTATTTTTGGTTTTTCTGAATCAGTATATTATATAGTGTCTCAGAAAAAAAATCCCCATTCTTAGAGCTTGGGCAACTTTTTTTATAGCACTACTCC